TGTGCTCTTCCGATCTTTCGATTCTTCTACAATAATTTTACCAATTTTCATTGTGGCTTGTATTGTGGTTGTTACTTCAAACTTACTTCAAATCCAACTATATTTGGATCAAGCTTGGCCTCGTCTTGCTTTACATTGTTCAGAACGGCTACTCTTTTCTTCTTGCTCATTTTGATAGAGTTTACAGTTGTCTTTGTCGAATCGTCTTCCTCTTCATCGTCTGATTTGCGTTTTAACTTTTTAACAGGAATCTCAAGTTCTCGAAAATGACGCTTCAAGCCCTTGTTCTGCAAGGACGTTAGACTCACGTACTGTTGCAGTTCCGTAGGAGACGCCTGTACCTTCGCCAGGTCTTCTAACAACCCGGCTCTCTGCAAAATAATCGCGTTTAGAACATTTAAGTGAACATTTTACGTTACGTTTATATTATGGAATGAAATTACGATACCTGCAACTTCTTCTTCTTTCGCTCTACCACTTTTTCCAGCTGTTTTCTGCGTTTCTTCGATAACAATCGAGTGGTTGTTATCTTCTTATCGACGTTTTTCGTCTTTCTCTTTTCAGTGGGCAAGACAAGTGCGTTGCAATTGTCATAGTCCTCGGCGCGATGTTGGATGTCCAAGACAATCTGAGGACAAATGCATTTAATGGACAAATATATATATTTCAAGCAAATGACTTTAATAAACATTTCACAAAATGAAATATTACAGCGTACAAATTACCAATATTACATAAACAATAATTTTCTTTTCGCAAGAAAGCAAAACGAAGATAATCAACAAAATATTTACCTCTTTAGTGGTGGAATTATCGACTTCCACCTTTGCGACAGCTCTTGATTTCCAATTATAACCTCCCTTTTTCCCCATTGTTAAGGACTGAACTACTTCACTTTAACTTCGGATTTTAATGAAAATACAATCATTCGGCTCTCTCTCGTTCCTTCATCTCGAAAACCAAAACTTGAAAAATTAAAATAATCGCTCGGCACTATGAAAAGAACAATAGACGTTTTTAGGTTAGATTCCTACGAACGAAACGTGGTGAGCGATGCTTCTCAGATTAAGTTAGGCTTGTCTCGATAATACGATTGAATTAAGCCGCTGATTCAAGTTAAAGATTTGAATTAACAATTGGCTAGAAAAAGTATATTTCTGCTTGTTTTCTATATTAATATAGAAAATAATTTTTTTTACATTGGCGGTCTAATGTCTGTCATTAGCGCACAGTTAATTGGTAATAATTGAATGATTGATGCTAATTACAAATAATATTATTTTCGCTCATCGAGATCGGCCGCACGTCGTCCCGGAGTTTCCCGGTGATCGAAGATCGAACGCAATCGGATTCTAATCGTGCTCAATTCTAAAGATCTCTCTTTTGCAGCTGCACTACTATGCTACACTTTCCGCGCTCGAGATAGATATACGATTGGATGTTGCGGAGGAAAAAGAGAAGAGACAAAAGGTTGCAATCAGCTGTTCGAGAAACAGCTACAGGCGAAGATACGTGCACGTGCACTTGAAACGAAAAGAGACAGACGAGAGGTTACGTGCACAAAGAGAGAGTGTATCCGGAAAACAAATATAAACATAAATCTCGGACGAATCGAAATTCGAGGCTCTTAAATCCGGAGAAGGTCAGAAGGTGTCGGGATCCGATTGGCGAGTCGGATCGGCAGATCGTCGTCGAGCGATGGACTTGCCTCGAAGAATCAAACCAGCGTACAGACTCTTCGACAAAGGTGTTGTCGCTGCCTTTTCGCGTCGAGGTAACGCTGTTCCATCCTTCAGAACGTTCTGCTCTTCGAGGCAGCTCGCGAGGCAGCAACAGCCTCAACAACAACAACAGCAAAAACCAGAGCATAATAATAGTAGTAACGGCGACAAGAGAAGACCGGCCATCGACGAGGCGACGATCAGGAGGCTCGAGAGGCTGGCGCTGGTCGGCTTCGAGTACGAGCAGAGCAAGCGGGTGCTGGAGGAGGCGGTGGCGTTCGCCGAGCGGCTGCGGGCGGCGCGCGTCGACGAGACGGTGCGTCCGATGTGCAGCACCCTCGAGAACGACTGCATCCGGCTGCGGGACGACGTGGTGCGACAGGACGTCGATCGGCGCGAGGTACTGAGGAACGCCGCGGTGCTGGAGGAGGAGTACTTCGTCGCGCCGCTGGCGACGAGCAAGGAGAGGCCGAGCTGAAGCTGTATCTTGAACGATGAGTCTGGAGGCGGTGCTGAGGGCGGTCGGTCCGCACTTCCTCAGCCTGTCCGAGCGGACGTTCGCGTACGGGCCGCAGGGCAGGCTGCTGCTGCGTAATCTCGAGGAGCACTGGTTCTCGCACTGCGTCACGATGCCGTCCTACAACGTGTTCCCGTGCGACGCGATCCCGGACGCGTTGCAGCTGCTGCGGAGCAACTCGATGGACGACGTGCTGCCGTTCGGCCTCGCCGCCCTCGCGACGTCCAAGAGCGCGTGGAACGAGTCCCTCCTGCTCGAGACGGCGGGCGGTAAGGTGCCGTCCCACAGAACCGCCAGGATCAACGTGTTCGTCGACGCGTCGGACGCGAAGGGTCTGCTGCACAGGATGCAGCGGGAGCGCAAAGTGTGGTGGCGCAAGCTCGCCCAGCACCCCTCGAGATTCGTGCTCGCCGAGGCGAAGAAGACGAGGAATCTCGACGTGACGGAGATCGAGGCGCGGTTCCCCTTTGGGAATGTCACCGTGGAGACGATCACGCATTATCCCGGCGTGCGCAAGTTGTATCCTCAGGTATAACGCTTTTTCTTATTGAGAATAATAAGCCGATAGTATTATGAGAGATAGAGAAAGAGAGAGAGAGACAGATTGAGAGAGAATTATTTAAATGGGCTATTTATTTACAGACCGAAAATAATAAAGACAACGCTACGGACGTGCATATGGTCGAGCATGTCGCTTCCATGGATTGGGGCTGCCTGGCGTTACTCTGCGACAGCCACATGCTGGACAAGTCAACGAGGGCGTATATTCATCCTAAGTTATCCCCGTACAAGATCACGTTCCACGTGGCGAGGTCGGAGGATGAGATGACGGAGTCGGAAGTAGAAGACTTAAATCGCTTTGTGCTATACTTAAACAATATGCTTAGGACGAGAGGCATCCCTACCATATTGACGAAACGTACAGAACAAATCGTAGAAATGTGCCTGATACCGTACGTCGTGTCGGTGGATAAGACTAGTCTTAAGAATGGCATTGTACACGTAAAAAACCGCTCGACGACCCTTAGCGAGGCAGTTCACATTACCGACTTGGTAAAGTATATTAGTTTGCGTTCTTCTTGAATTTCTCTCTTGCCGAGTAACCGCGCGCCCGGACCATCTTTCGATCGAGTGTTCACAAGATATATTGCTATTATATATCATTTATATTTAATTATTAACTATATTTATTACTGACAGTTACAACGATATAAACTGTAAATATAAATGAAAATTCTGGTTCTACGTTTTCTCCTCTTCTTTTTTTTTTAATCCCTACTTTGCTGCTGGATTTCTGAATTTGAAGATAAATATACATAGCTACATCTCGGTCTTGTGACTTTTGTATAATGTACATTCCCTCGGAGTATGAAGTACGCAAAGAAATAATAGAGGCAAACTTAAAACTTTCTCGTCCTGGAAAGGAGACGCAGCACATGGCATCGGTACGATTGGGACGACGGAAGGAAGGAAGAAAAGTGTGTGCTTGGAAAGGGGATTTGCTGCCCAGACAATTCATGTTTCAGCGGTAAAAAACGTAACGTTGCATCACGTGTACGCTCTCCGCTAGCCTCTCCCAGGATTGCCTGAATTTATCTCGAATTGGCGATGCCACCGAGGCCGGTTGAACATCTCTCCGAAACAAGAGAATGAACATCCTCGATTGAAGCTAAGCAGGTAATTGTAGCTTCTTGCCCTTGAGTACTTTGGTAATGTAGAGGTAGAAAAAGTCACAATAGAGAACTGTTTGCACAAATCCGGCGATTATGGCGATCAGGTCGTAGTGATCCTCGGCGTAGTAGCGGTAGATCCAGTTCAGCACGTACAGGCCCCTGTACGAGCCGAGCGCGAACAGATAGTGGCTGGTGATGCTCTCCGCCTCGCCCGTTTTCGACACCAGGAACAACTGCGGCAGTATCGCCACTGACTCTAGATAAATGCTGAACGTCCACAGAATCTCGACGAAGGAGAACTCGTGATTGATGAGTAGCGCTAGTACAAACGCCGGTAAGATCAGGAACTCGATTCTGCAACAGAGAGAAAGTCCCGTCCGTCATCGAGTATCTGTATCGCGCGGGGAAGACGTGGCGCGAGCTTGACGGCGAGAGTCCTCTTACCTGAACGTATCGTGATTATGATCGTACGTGGCTTTGAATTTGACATACATCAAGAAGACGGTGGCGAGTGACGTGGCGATGAATATGATCTTCATAAACGTGTTGTACGCCGAGATGAATGTGGTGAACAGATCGAGGTAACGGCTGGTGTAAACAGTCGCGAAGAGGATCTGCGACTTGCCGCTGATACCTGCGAACACAGTTCAAAGCGTCAAAGCGGTGAGCGACCCGCGTCACACGTGCGGAAAGCCGTCACCGGCCCCGGTTTCTCTCGGTCGTTAAACAACATCGGGATTACGCGTGAATCGCGCGCGTCAATCGCCGTGTGCCGCGAGAGGCGCGATTCAAGGCGGCGACTCCGACTCACCGGCGCAGCTCCGTGTCTTCCATATCTTGATGAGTAGTATGATAATGGCTAAAAGGTGCGACAGGTCGCCCAGCAGTCGGAATATATTCATGCCTGCGGTCGCGGGGATGTGACTTTAGGTAAAAAAAAAAACCCGCGGAAGGAGTTCTAGAGAGCCAGCTCGCGCAGCTCGCTCGACGGCGGCACACAAATATGACGTGGCTCTGGCTGCGGCTAAAGCAGATGGCCGACCCCCAGAAGGCAGAAACTCCTGGAGTCCGGTGTTGACATCCCCGCGATCGTCGGGGGAGAGCGAGAGACATCTAGAGAGGGAGCCGCAAGGCTTGTCGCGCAATCCTTTTCTTAATCTTCTTGCGTTGCCGCTCTGCCGATGGGCGAACTCGCGAATCCTAGAGACTCTCGAGTCAATCTAGGGGAATCTTCAAGCAAATCCCTACAAAACTTGTCCATTTTTAATAATTTATCGGAGCCGGTCGAGCGGGAAATTAACGCATTAACGTCGAGGATCGACGAATCACGTTGTCAGAAATTTTGCATTAATTTTCTATTCGTCGATTAATTAAAGTTTAACAATATAAAAGTCAAACTCGTCCTCTAATGTAATAACAATCAAAAAATTTCAATGAAATTAGGCCAAACTATGACGAGCAATTTATAACGAAGACGACAACGTTTATTAATTAATCTTGTAATACAAAATTTAAGATGGTCCATATTCGGAATGTCCGTCTTAAATTTTGTATTACAAGATTAGTAAACGCTGTTATCTTTGTTATAAATTGCTCGCTAGTTTGGCCTAACTTCATTTAAATTAATTAAAGTTTGATTATATTGACCAATCACGTACCACTTCGTCCCGAGCGGTCGAGATCGCCTTCTTCGGTCGCGCGCGTCGCATCTGCGTCAGACTCGCCCCGTGACCGAGCGACGGTGGTGGGGATCAACGTATTTCTTCCGGTAGAGGGACGTCGGGTCGGGAAGATCACGACGCAGTAGGCGTTGGAAATGGTTGGAAGGCGTTCGGGCCAGCTTCTGTGAATCGAAGCAAAATGGCGACATCCGACTCGAAAGCGCCTCTGCGGACGGTGAAACGCGTCCAATTTGGCATTCTCTCGCCCGACGAGATAGTAAGTAGGCTGCGTGACAACTCGCGGATGCTCGCGACACCGAATTACGCGGGAAGCGGCGTTCGTGTCCCCGAGTATCATGGCGCAACCTCGCGCAACTGCCACACACACGACGATCTCTCGCGAGATCGGGGATGTGCAGATGTAGCTTTCCCGACAGCTTCCCCGCCAAAATGCCTCCTGTAGATATTGCGTTCGCAACCGCTCGGTCTTATCCCGCGATGTCCGATTTGTGAAAATCGAGAATAAAAGTGTATGCGAAATGTCGATGTAGTATTGGTGCCCATGGAAATTTTCCTGCAAGAGATACAGTTGACACAGCATAATATAGTGAATTATTTCATTCTTATTTAACATTGATAAACAATAAGAACGAAATAATTCCCTGTTACGCTGTCATTTAGCTTGCTGAAAAACGTCCTGTATGTCGATTATGGGAGTTTTCCAGCAAAAAACATAGCCACATAGAAGTCATTTTTTAATAAAAAAGTAATAGTTTCAACATCGTTCTTTTGTAAAATTAATTATTGAGAAGTATTGAAAATCGTGAAATTTTGGAGAGAATATCAGGGACGAAATTGCGAATGTAAATGACAAACATAATTTTATTTATATCTAACATGTGTATTTAATTACTACACATATTCGTGTGTTGTTATAAGAAAGCTGTATGTCAAAAATTCTCGAAGTACTTATATTTTGCATATTAGGCTTTCTCAAATTATTTATTGCTCTGATATTCCAAGCACACATTATTTTGAACATAAATATGTATGCAAAATAATTTACTTACAAAGATAATAGAATATGAAGAAGATAATATTGATCTTATTTTTTTGTGTATAATATATAATAGTTAAAATGTGTGTGTTGATCTGTTTGATGACTATTAAAAAATTACTAAACTATTAAAAAGGTGAGATCTCTTGTATATGTCTAGATTAAATTTAAATTTCTATTTCTCTAAAATATGAGATGTTACGTTTTGCGTAGCGTCGTATGTCAGTCACCGATGGCGGCATACGATTTCCAGAAACGATGGAGGGCGGCCGCCCTAAGCTGGGCGGTCTCATGGACCCGAGGCAGGGTGTCATCGACAGGAATTCCAGGTGTCAAACCTGTGCCGGCAACATGACAGAATGCCCTGGCCATTTCGGTCATATAGATCTAGCAAAACCAGTGTTCCACGTGGGATTCATTACCAAAACTATAAAAATATTGAGATGCGTGTGTTTTTACTGTTCCAAACTACTTGTCAATCCAGTAAGTATTTATTATTATATCAAAATGTGTTAAATGTTATTTTCATAAAATTCAGAAATTGCATTTAATTTTTTTAATTCAATAGAATGTGAATAATATTTACATTCTATATTTTTCTAAAAATCTAATTGATTAGAGACTTAAAATTATGACATTTAAAAATGATTTTTAAATATACAGATTATAAAATAATAATATAATTGGAAGTCTGATAAAGTCTGAAAAAGATTGATGATAACTAGATTATCTCTAGACGTGTATTATTTTTAAGTGATATCAAAGAAAGATAAAAGAATTTCTCAGAGTACTAATTCTGTTTTCTCTTGTTCTCAGCATAATCCAAAAATCAAAGAAATCGTTATGAAGACGAAGGGACAGCCGCGGAAGCGACTCGCATTTGTTTATGATCTATGCAAAAGCAAGAATATCTGCGAAGGTGGAGACGAAATGGATATCAACAAGGAGAACGCGGAGGCTCAGCCGCAGATGGACAGAAAACCAGGTCACGGTGGTTGCGGCAGATACCAGCCTAATCTCCGACGATCCGGCTTGGACGTCACTGCAGAGTGGAAGCACGTGAACGAAGATTCGCAAGAGAAGAAGATAATTCTCTCGGCCGAGAGGGCCTGGGAAATCTTGAAGCACATTAAGGACGAGGAGTCTTTCATCTTGGGCATGGACCCGAAATTTGCCCGACCGGATTGGATGATAGTCACCGTGCTGCCAGTGCCGCCGTTGTCCGTCAGACCTGCGGTCATCATGTACGGTTCAGCCAAGAATCAGGACGATCTGACGCACAAACTGGCGGACATAATCAAATCGAACAACGAGTTGCTACGAAATGAACAGTCCGGCGCGGCGGCACACGTGATCTCTGAGAACATAAAGATGCTGCAGTTTCACGTGGCGACGCTTGTCGACAACGACATGCCCGGTATGCCCCGGGCGATGCAGAAGTCGGGCAAGCCCCTCAAGGCGATCAAGGCCCGGCTGAAGGGAAAGGAGGGCAGGATTCGTGGAAACCTGATGGGTAAACGCGTGGACTTCTCCGCGCGTACCGTCATCACCCCGGATCCCAATCTGCGCATCGATCAAGTGGGCGTACCGCGCAGCATAGCGCAAAATTTGACATTCCCCGAGATCGTCACGCCGTTCAACATCGACAAGATGCAGGTGCTGGTCAGGCGCGGCAATTCGCAGTATCCCGGTGCGAAGTACATAGTCCGCGACAACGGCGAGAGGATCGACCTGCGCTTCCATCCCAAGTCCTCGGATCTGCATCTGCAATGCGGCTACCGGGTCGAGCGACACATCCGCGACGGCGATCTCGTGATCTTCAATCGTCAACCCACGCTGCACAAGATGAGTATGATGGGCCATCGCGTCAAGGTGCTCCCGTGGAGCACGTTCCGTATGAATCTGAGCTGCACGTCGCCCTACAACGCCGACTTCGACGGCGACGAGATGAATTTGCACGTTCCGCAATCCATGGAGACCCGCGCGGAGGTCGAGAACATTCACGTGACACCGCGACAGATCATTACCCCGCAGGCGAACAAGCCGGTTATGGGTATTGTGCAGGACACACTGACGGCCGTCAGGAAGATGACCAAGCGCGACGTGTTCATCGAGAAGGAGCAAATGATGAATCTGCTTATGTTCCTGCCCAGCTGGGACGGCAAGATGCCGCAGCCGTGTATCCTGAAACCGAAACCACTGTGGACCGGCAAGCAGCTGTTCTCCCTCATCATACCGGGTAACGTGAACATGATACGGACGCACAGCACGCACCCCGACGAGGAGGACGACGGTCCGTACAAGTGGATCTCGCCGGGTGACACCAAGGTAATGGTGGAGCACGGAGAGCTTGTGATGGGTATTCTCTGCAAGAAGACCCTGGGTACCTCCGCTGGTTCGTTGCTTCACATCTGCATGCTCGAGCTGGGCCACGAAGTGTGCGGACGCTTCTACGGCAATATCCAGACCGTCATCAACAATTGGCTGTTACTGGAGGGTCATTCGATTGGTATTGGCGACACTATTGCCGATCCGCAGACCTACTTGGAGATTCAGAAGGCGATCAAGAAAGCGAAAGAGGACGTGATAGAGGTGATCCAGAAGGCACACAACATGGAACTCGAGCCTACGCCTGGTAATACGCTTCGTCAGACTTTCGAGAATCAAGTGAACAGGATACTAAACGATGCAAGAGACAAGACCGGAGGCTCTGCCAAGAAATCCTTGACTGAATACAATAATTTGAAGGCCATGGTGGTATCAGGCTCGAAGGGTTCCAACATCAACATCTCTCAGGTTATCGCTTGTGTAGGCCAGCAGAACGTTGAGGGTAAGCGGATACCTTTCGGTTTCCGCAAGAGAACCCTGCCGCATTTTATCAAGGATGACTACGGACCCGAGTCTCGCGGCTTCGTCGAGAATTCGTATCTTGCCGGTCTCACGCCCTCGGAGTTCTACTTCCACGCGATGGGCGGTCGTGAAGGTCTCATCGATACCGCCGTGAAGACGGCCGAGACCGGTTACATACAGCGTCGTTTGATAAAGGCTATGGAATCGGTGATGGTGCACTACGACGGCACCGTGCGTAATTCCGTCGGTCAGTTGATTCAGCTGCGTTACGGAGAGGACGGTCTCTGCGGCGAGACCGTCGAATTTCAGAATCTACCAACGATCAAGGTGAGCAACAAGGCCTTCGAGAAGAAATTCAAGTTCGACCCGACCAACGAGCGATACCTGCGGCGTATATTCAACGAGGACATCGTCCGGGAGATGATGGGCTCCGGAGAGGTGATATCCGAGCTGGAAAGAGAGTGGGAACAGTTGAACAGGGATCGCGCTGTACTCCGGGAGATCTTCCCGAGCGGCGAATCCAAGGTAGTGCTGCCCTGTAATCTGCAGAGGATGATTTGGAACGTGCAGAAGATATTCCACATCAACAAGCGAGCGCCGACCGATCTCAGTCCCATGAGAGTCATTCAGGGCGTGAAGAATCTTCTGGAGAAGTGTATTATCGTCGCCGGGGATGACAGACTGAGCAAACAGGCGAACGAGAACGCGACGTTGCTGTTCCAGTGTTTGGTAAGGTCGACTCTGTGCACCAAGTGCGTCTCCGAAGAGTTCAGACTGTCCAGCGAAGCGTTCGAGTGGCTGATCGGAGAAATCGAGACGAGATTCCAGCAGGCACAGGTGTCGCCCGGCGAGATGGTCGGCGCACTGGCGGCGCAGTCTCTCGGCGAGCCCGCCACTCAGATGACCCTGAACACCTTCCACTTCGCTGGTGTATCATCGAAAAACGTAACCCTCGGTGTGCCGAGATTGAAGGAAATTATCAACATCAGCAAGAAACCGAAGGCGCCGTCGCTCACGGTGTTCCTGACGGGCGCGGCCGCGCGTGACGCCGAGAAGGCGAAGAACGTGCTCTGCCGACTGGAGCACACGACGTTGAAGAAGGTGACGGCCAACACGGCGATATACTACGATCCGGATCCGCAGAACACGGTGATCGCGGAAGATCAGGAGTTCGTCAACGTTTACTACGAGATGCCCGACTTCGATCCCACGAAGATATCGCCGTGGCTGCTGCGAATCGAGTTGGACAGGAAACGAATGACCGACAAGAAGCTGACGATGGAACAGATCGCGGAGAAGATCAACGCCGGCTTCGGCGACGATCTCAACTGCATATTCAATGACGACAATGCCGAGAAGTTGGTGCTGCGCATTAGAATAATGAACAGCGACGATAACAAGTTCCAGGACACGGATGAGGAGACCGTGGATAAGATGGAGGACGATATGTTCCTTCGATGCATCGAAGCGAACATGCTTAGCGATATGACTTTACAGGTGCGTTGCAATGTGAAAAAAAAATCGCTTACAATTGCATTAATTTTCCGTATCTGTTTGTTGTCAATTAGCTTAATGTAATTATATAAAATTTTACATTTTTTTTCCATTGAATATTTCAGGGTATTGAAGCTATCGGGAAGGTTTACATGCATCTACCACAAACGGATTCCAAGAAACGCATTGTTATCACGGAAACCGGCGAATTCAAGGCCATCGCGGAGTGGCTCCTGGAAACCGACGGAACGAGCCTGATGAAGGTGTTGAGCGAGAGAGACGTCGATCCCGTGCGGACGTTCAGCAATGACATTTGCGAGATATTTCAAGTGCTCGGCATCGAAGCCGTGCGGAAGTCGGTAGAAAAGGAGATGAACGCGGTATTGCAGTTCTACGGCCTTTACGTCAACTACCGACATCTCGCTTTACTTTGCGACGTCATGACGGCGAAGGGTCATCTCATGGCGATAACACGTCATGGAATCAATAGACAAGACACCGGTGCTTTGATGAGGTCAGTGAACAAGCTTTGCCTTTCTTCGGGATCTTTGAAAGATGGATATATATTCCGCAATGACAGACGATAAAATTGATTGAAAATTAATAAGAAACCGAATTTGTTTAGATGCTCCTTCGAAGAAACTGTTGACGTGTTGCTGGATGCCGCGTCTCACGCAGAGGTAGATCCAATGAGAGGAGTATCCGAGAATATTATAATGGGACAACTTCCCCGAATTGGAACAGGTAACGCGCGATATACAGTTCTTTTACAGTACAAAAAATATTGTTATGCAAATTGTATTTGAATTTCTACTCCCAAATCTGTCTTGTAAAGAAAATATGTAAGGAAAATATTAGAACTTGCAGATTGAACTTATGATCAGCAGAAATTTAAGATAACTATTATTTGCCATATATAATAGTGATAAATATTAATGATTTTATTATGCGTGTGTTTAGGATGTTTCGATCTATTGTTGGACGCGGAGAAATGTAAATCTGGCATCGAAATCCCCATGGCAGTCGGCGCAGGTATGATGGGAACGGCAGGAATGTTCTTCGGCAGCGTAACTGGCATATCTAGCATGAGTCCTCAGATGACTCCTTGGATGGGAGCTACTCCTGGTTATGGTGCGTCAAGCATGTCGCCAGGTAAGTCTCGCATAGTAATTTCAAGACAAACCTATAAAAAAAAAAAAAATTTAATTTTTGCGTGATGTGCATCAAACAATATTAACGCTTATTCTCTTTTGTTTTACAGCCTTAAGCAGTGGTATGACGCCAGGTGGTGCATGCTTCTCGCCATCGGGGGCGTCGGACGCGTCAGGCTTATCACCAGCGTACTCGGCTTATTCACCACAACCAGGAAGTCCCGGTAGTCCGGGCCCGAGTATGAGCCCGTTCCCAATGTCACCGGCTGGTGCAGCATCGCCCAGTTACTCTCCGACGTCACCGGCGTATTTGCCCACGTCACCAAGCATGACACCGTCGAGTCCGAACTATTCGCCCACGAGTCCGACGTATTCGCCGACCAGTCCAAATTATTCACCGACGTCGCCAAGCTACTCGCCGACGAGTCCGAGTTACTCGCCAACGTCCCCGAGTTATTCGCCAACGAGCCCGAGTTACTCACCCACGTCTCCGAGTTATTCGCCGACGAGCCCGAGTTACTCACCTACGTCGCCAAGCTATTCGCCGACCAGCCCGAGCTATTCGCCCACGTCGCCGAGCTATTCGCCGACTTCGCCGAGTTACTCGCCCACCTCACCGAGTTACTCGCCAACCTCTCCGAGTTATTCCCCGACAAGTCCAAGTTACTCGCCCACGAGTCCAAGCTATTCGCCTACGAGCCCGAGTTACTCGCCTACGAGCCCGAGCTACTCACCAAGCTCGCCTAACTACACACCTGCCTCGCCCTCGTACTCGCCCACCTCGCCCAGCTACTCGCCGAGCTCGCCGCAATACTCGCCCGCGAGCCCGAGCTATTCCCCGAGCAGCCCCAAATATTCGCCGACGAGCCCGAGCTATTCCCCAACTTCGCCGTCGTTCGCCGGCACATCGCCGCAATACACGCCTGCGAGTCCCACGTACTCGCCGACCAGCCCGACGTATTCGCCTACAAGCCCGTCGTACTCGCCGAGCTCGCCGCAGCACACCGCGTCCGGCAGCACTCGGTATTCACCTAGCAGCCCGAACTATTCGCCCACCAGTCCGACGTACTCGCCCACAAGTCCGCAGTACTCGCCGTCGAGCACCAAATATTCGCCCACAAGCCCTACCTACACGCCTACAAGCCCGAGTTATTCTCCGACGAGTCCGACGTACTCGCCGCCCGTACCGGGATACTCGCCCACGAGTCCCACGTACTCGCCGGCGTCACCCGCCTACGAGACGGATGAATAATTTCTTTTTTAAGATTTTTTCATAAATTATTACATACTTTAGATACTTATTTTAAATAAGTTAATTGTATAAGTCCGACCGATTGTAATTATCGTGATTGCACATAGCTGCAAATAAACTTTACGTACATGTTTGTTAAGATATTTCTTATGACCTATTTGGTACTTAGAAAATCATATAAATAAAAATTCAAGAGCAATTAAGAGAAAATAAGAAAAATGAACAAAAATACAAATTATTTATCAATTAAAAATGTATAGTCGATGATTTCTCGGCTGTTAATTACAATTGCTATACAGGGCGCAGATCACGATGCGCTTTCGCCACTCGTACCAGGAAGGTTGTGACATATGTAATGACCAGAGTGAAGTATATGTTATCTGAGAGATCTGGGTGTGCTGTAAGCGAGTGTATTAATTACTGTGTTATAAGCGAGTTGTAAGTAAGAATATTTTAGGGACCAGGGAATTTTGTAAGTCAGCAATCGATAAAATCCAATGAACTGAACGAGAGCTGTATTGTTGCGGGAAATACGTAAAAATTCAGGGAGACTACCGATGCGAGAAATGTCTAAAAAAAATTCAGGGAGATCATTTGTATATGCGTCTTTATTGCGACTATGCTATCATTACGACTACTATTCTCGTAGAGATACAATTGATCTTCTACATTTAGCAAGCTGCACGATATCGTATGTTCAAGACTCTGCATTTCGTTGATATTTAGTCTGTTGAATAGATACGGAGACCTGTGATTTTATTAAACGAATGCGAAAGTGAAAATCGAAACTTTTGCTGTATTATCTCGATTGTATTAACTGTATTATCCGTATCGTCCGTTATTAACGTTTTATTTCTCTTGTGCAACAACGATCATTTCAACTCGATTGGAGTATATCAATTAATTAATATTCCTCACAAATGAATCAACCAAAGGGATATATGTAAAAAGGAATTATTCACTGACAATAACTCAAAGCATTTCGTATATCAATATAATAAAGACACGAATCATCTAAAAAGTGGTCTAAATTGAATCAAATACACGCGGAAATGTGGAGGAGATATCAGACGTAGAGATATACATTTGATATAATTTAACAAAATTTTATTACAAATCGCTTTTAAAATAAATGGTCGCGGCATCAAGAACGGCGACCACTGTATGCTAGTCGAAACAAAGCGTAGCGTCTTGAGAGTTCGTTCTATCGTATAGTCTGCGACAGCTTGCTAAATACAAGTCATATACATTGTAGGTCTTCCTCGCAGTTCTCCCGTCCAGGGCAAGTTACTGGTGTTCGATATCGGTATCGGGTTACCTCGGTGCTGCGGTACGGTGCGCACCGCGGTGAAAACCGGTCCAGATACTTGCCACGATGAACATCGTGCGCCCCAGTACCGCGGCATCGCGAGCAAGCAGCATGTCCGGGAATTCGGGGCTATCGTTGCTCTTCGCAACTCTGTGCATCGTCGATATTTTCGGCGTGTTCCCGATAATCGCGCTACCACGATCGATTGTCCAGTGCGGTGAGATCTCGCTGTAAATTTTTTAATCAAGATAAAAAAAGTTTCTGATATATTATAGGCGGCTACAATGGAATATTTTGCAAAAGAAAAAACCAAACACCTTGACAAATCTGTTATTTTTCCCCCCAACTATGAATTAAAATTACTTGTCAAAGTTTTATAAAAGGGATTTGTATGAGAAGCTCCGTGTACGAAACAAAAGAGAGGCTTGATTGACCGCGACAGTTTTTGCAACGATTGTATATTTGTAATGACATTATATATAACGATAAGTTAATTTTAATTAATAAAAAGTATCAGTATGGTAATAATAATAGTGATTGATTCCTGTGTTAATCTATCAATAAAAGCGCCTGCATAAATTATTCACTTGTTAATATTCCCTATATTCTATTTGCGTTGATAGATCACAATATAATTCTTGAAATTAAAAAATTATATATAAACACATCAAGAAGATTAGAAAAAATATATATGTATTTATTAGGATTGTACGGAATCCCTTTGGTGCTCGTTGTCTTTGGTTTGCAAATTTACACGGCGATTCTGCTGGGGAGATCATGGATCATCGCGACTACTCTGGATCCACAGATTTCACGAAAAAATCGGTACTTTCAAATTGGTCAAACTAAAGTTAAAAAGTCCAAGATATCTTTCTGTTAGATGCCTTAATATTTTTCAATAAGAACGTTTAAAAATTCTAAATATATGTTTAAAATTGCAGCTATCCTCTCGCCGCTGTGACGGAATTGACGATGGGTCAGCGCGCACGATCCATTGTCACTTTGCTTTTAGACTTAACGGTTTTTGGTTGTGGCATTCCTAATTTGTTAGTCGGTAGGTAAAAACGCATATTTGTGCACAAAAAACAATTTTTCTTCCTAAAAATTTTCAGAATAAAATTTGTTCTCTGCACTTGACATCGCTAATATGTTAAATGGATACAAAGAAGAATATTTTCTTTATATCTCTTTTTTTTTCGAACTCTTGTTTTAACGGATGTGTTACGATACATTCTATATAATAGTTTTTTGTTAAACGCAAAATGATTTTCCAGCTTCGCAGAATTTGCACCTGTTCGGGCTCAAGATATCGGGACAGCGTTTCGATCTCTCTTTCTGTTACTGGCTGCTAATAGTCGGCCTTTTACTTTGTCCGTTAATGTGGCTGGGCAGTCCGCGGGATATGAAGTGAGATGAACTGCTTTTCATTACTATAACTCGTATATCTCGGGGCCAAGTGCTATTTTATCGAATTTATTACAGATGGGTCGCAACGTGTTCTAGTATAACAGTTACTTTAACGGCGGTGTTAACTTGGTGGAGTATTATAGCTGATGATCGAACATCTGACGTCGCCCCAATTGCCACTTCGCCGACGTGGGATAAATTTATTTCCGGGTACACGCAGCTTCTGTATCACACAAATACGCGTTTAGGATGAGCGTTTTTTACAGTCAAAGTACAATCATAAAATTAAATCTAATCCGTCAAATTAATTGGTCCGATAATTTACTAATTAATAATAATTACTTGAATGAATTCTCAGGTACGGTATGCTAGCCTTTCAGTTCGACGTGCATCCTACTCTAATGACGATACAGGTTGACATGCGTCGTCCTCGAGACATCGATAAAGCTGTCTTCTTTTCTTTTATGGGTAGGAGCGAAAATAATCACTTCTTGCATTTTATCTCTATTTATTAATTCAGGGAGAGCCTCACAATTAATTTAAAATATTTTTCTTCTATTTCTTAAGTTTTCACTTCGTTTAAATAATCTCACATTTATTTCCTCAATATTAAAATAGTTTTTTATGGTCCAAAGCAAATTCTATTTTTTTTTTTCGTGTAATTAATCGCCAGTGAACATTAATATGCTTTTTATAACAGTAAGCGGATCGCTGTTCATCGTTACCGCTTGCCTAGCCGTGTGGAAATACGGCGGCAATACGACTGCCAATATTCTGGAAGCTGTGCCATCCGGATCGGTTGCGAACATCGCTATCCTGTTAGCCGCTCTTCAACTGTGCTTCTCCAGCGTGATTGGCTACTCGGCGCTCTTTCAACATCTGGAGGATCAGTGGAGCGTGCAAAGAAGTAGAGAATTATTTTTATTCATTTACAACAAGTGAAGTCGGTTTAGCTAAAAAACCACAATTAACTTACGTTATGTTGAATCAGCTTTCGGATGGAAACGATGCGCCATGCGATCGGCGGTGGTTTTTCTCAGCGTGGTTGTAGGCGAAACGATATCGCGATTCGACATCATCATGACTTTAATCGGCGGATCGTTAACCGGATCATTGGTATTTGTTCTGCCGCCTCTGATATACACTCGAGCATTAGCTTTGAAGAAGCAGTCGAGTCACGTAGCCGAGGAACGGATTTATTCAGGTTCTCGCAAAAGATTGAACGGCGAAGAACAGCGCTTGATGGATCCTGGAGCTCATTCCCGTTCAATTTACTACGGTTTCCTGAGTGCCACGAATAATCCTTGCAGGTATCGAATAATGGGCGTTTAGATATATATCTAAATACACCCCTTTTTATCAGTTAAGTCTGTATGTCTAAATTGAAAAACTCATTTTTCTAAAGCATCTTAAATTCATTCAACTTGCATTTAGTGCTTCAATACTGAATTTTTAACAGCTACACGTATCTCTATTTCGACGATTTGGATGACGAGACAAATTCACATTCGAGCGAACTCGATTGTTACGAGGGCGAACGCAAGGACGAGGTCACTCAAATTCCAATGACTAGCACTCGTCGGGAGGACCAGCCGCTTCTCATCGACGCCGCGGAGCCAACCAGAAATCGAGTCAGGACGTCTGCGGGTGATCGGCGAGAAGAGGTCGCGGAAACGGTTGCGAAGAGGAGAAAATTATGGAATCTGGAAAGGACGATCAATTACTTCGGCTACTTCATAGTAACGATCGGTATAGCAATCACGCTGTCCTCGACGTATGTCAACATTTGGAATACCATACGTTACGTGCGTTTTACGCCGCCGTGCATCGTTAACGCTACCGCGGGCTAAAACCTTCGTACAATTCGATTTCGCCTATCGTAACATTTGCATTTATCGAGTGCGAAAAAACGCGATAATTTTGAATATGTCAGGATTGGATATCTTGCGAGTGTAAATAAAGTGTCGAGCGTTACGCTGCAATTTAATATATTTCTTATATATTTCATTTTAATCTAAAAATCACAATTCTTTTTTTTATATACCTATCCATGGATAGTATAACTAATCTCATGGCACATCTTCCTCACACTATAATGTACTTTAATTCTATCTTGTTCATGTGTCTCTATTTGAAACCTTGTAAAGTCTTCTTGAACGAATAATAGATCACTAGAACTTCTCTTCTTATTCAATCTTTTGAAAATCTAAAATAAGTCCATGAGATGCACGCATAATCCATATGTCAACGTAGGAGAAAGCATTGACGCAATAAAAAGTGGCGGGTACAGAGTTACAGTAATCAGCAGTCATTTGAAAGAATAACTGGAAGTAATCTTTTCCGTTTTCGTGTCCTTAATTAACAAATAAAATAAAAGTTAAGAGAGATACCTAAACATATGCATTAGCATTAAATTACGAAACGTCGCTCTTTGAAAATTTCAACTGTACTATTCTTTTTTTTTAATGCTCAGTCAATAGCGTTTAATGAATTAATAACAGTTGATAATGATAAGCTATCTTAGGATAAGCTGCTTTCGAAAATTTTTAAGAAACTGAAGATATTAATAATTAATCACATTAAAAACGCAAGATTCAAATAAGATAGCTAGGGTAATAGAATATATACGGTTAAAAATTAAAATATAAAAGTTCTTTATATTTCTTTATACTCACATATGTGATGCATTGGTGACTCTTACTACCACGCATTCTTCTTCCGTCATTGTGCCGTCCGTGCTGCTTTCCGAGCAAGTACTGAAAAGTCAAGGTCTCATTGCACTTTTGTGACTGTTTAATTTGTTATTTTTTGCACAATGAAAATTTAATCGATGTACGAACCATATCGTTTGCTCCATATAGCGTTGCCTTGCAATCGCCACTTCCTCGTCCATTAACTTCTTGAAATCGAAGATTAACAGCTCTCTCTTATTCTGTAATTCGCAAATCGTTCTTTGCAAATGGCAAATTTCTTTCTCTAATTCACGCTGCATTTCTACAAAATTGGCGTTTTTCTCTTAAACTTGTGTTTCGAAGTAAAACTACATACAAGGGAGACACACAAATCACAAAATCAAATAAAATTGCAAACCTTGCTGTTTTTTCCGTTGGCGTTCTTGTACGATGTAAAACTTTAATTTATGTTTTACTTTTTCGTCAATAGACATCTTTAATTTCTTGTGACTTTACTAAATTTGTTTGATCACCATATATAATCTACTTGCGCCAATTTATTTGCTTCCATCCAGGCGTGTCTTTTGTTCTTCATTCCAATACTATGCTTCGCTTTCCGTGGAAACTTAAAAAATCTCCGACGAGCAATGTCAAAAATCGCTGCCTGGATGGTGACTAAAACCGACGAAAGCGAAAGATATGTTAGTCGGTTACACTAATAAATTATATACGTGTAATAGATGATAGCTGGCGAAGGACAAAAACAAATATTGAAAACAAATATAAACATATATAATATACAAAATAATTAGCTCTTTTGGCGGTTTAAAATGTTAAAAAAAACTTGAAGATTGCTCTAAAACACAGGTTCACACAGTAGACTAGCAGCCTGCCAAGAGACGTATGTAGATGCACGTGGAAAGCATGCTGTGTGACACGTGTACTTTGACCAATGACAATTCATGGCGCTTTGGTGGTCGTCAGTTGAGATGCGTTCGGGGAGCACGCACCCTATGGCAAATTTTAAAATATTTCATGTTTTCACACTTGTTGGATACGTCGCGTATTTCATGTAATTTTTAATTTTAATTAATTATTTAAGTTATCCCATTTGTGATATTTATAATTTTATTATTAGCGTAGCATATTTACAAAAATATCGTAGAAATCGATAAATAATATCATATTCTCAATATGTTGAGAAAATATTATACTGTAACATTCGACTATCTTTATATATGTGTATACACACACACACGCACGCACGCACACACACAAATGTATAAATATCTAATTATATATATGCATATATATATATATATATGTATAATTAATGCACTATATATATGTATTTAATATATAATTTATATGATATATAAATATGTATATATATAATTACAGATAGAAGTGTGTATATATATAGATATCTAAAATATTGTACGAATTTTATTTTTACATTAAGTTATATACAATTTAGTTCGATTAACTCTTCGTGTCCAATAATTCCAACTTCATTCCACTTCAAAAATAGTACTAATCTTCAATAAATTTCGAATTACACGTATTGCGATAAAATAAACTGTCGCTTTCTGACAATACGTCGATGGATTTTTTGTAATACATAATATTGAAATTGCTGTATTTGACTTAATTCATTTATGTTTTTAAAATGGACATATATTTTAAAATATTTTTTATGAAAAAACAAGAATATAGAATAAAAAAAAACTGCCAGACGCGCAAGCTGTACGACTTTTGAATTTTTCTACATATTCATTTCCACATGACCATATTTGCAACGCAATGCTGGTAAAGCGGCGTCTACAATGAGACTTAAGACTTAAGATTTAAGGAAATTGACCAATCACAATCGATTTTTCTTCTTACATGAGATAAATAATCGACTGACTATTGGTCAATTTTCTGAAATCTCAAATCTTAAGTCTCATTGTAGACGCCGTTGTACAGGCGAAGCACTCGTTATATTCTCGTATATTCGCTCATATCATGGGAATGACGATAAATTTCGGAAGAAGCGTTCGCGGGAGTGGTGAAAACCAGATGGATGGATGGAACGGGTAGACAGTTCAGCAAGAACGTGTACAATAAGGCGCTTTATTTCTATAAACTTCTCGCTTATTTAGCATCGTATAGAAATAGTCGTACTTATATGTCTAGACTGTGCGAGTTATAGCATGGTGCGCAGGTATAAATATAACAATTTCAGTCGCGGCATACGTCGCACTCCGTTTTTATCTCGTTACACACACACACACACGCGCGCGCGCACACAAACATACTTTAATCCTCGTTGCCCTTTTTCGGCGGGCTCGTCAAAGAAAAAAAAAAGAAAAAAAAAAAGAAAAAAACTTCGCAAGATGACCGTGCGTTCACACGCCGTCACCGCCGCTGTCGACGGTACCGCCGTCGCCGTCGATACTGACACCGTCGTCGCCGGCCGTCAACGACTTGCTGCCCTTATCCCGCTTGGCGTTGTGATAGAGGTAGGAGTGTACACGCAGACTGTTACTGTTCTTATATTTATTGCCACAAAGCTTACACGTGAGACTTTCGAGCGGGCCGTGTATGTAGCGGACGTGGAGCTTGAGGTTCTCCTTGCGCGTGAACTGGCGCAGGCACCACGGGCAAGCGTACATGCGTATCACCTTGCCGTGCTCTATGCGCAACGTCGGGCCCAGTTGCGAGACGACGCGTAGCGTCGTCTCCAACGGCAAGCTGCTGCCGGGTATACCCTTGACGGTACGCCGTCCCTTATTACTGGAGGAGTTTGTCGTTTGCTCGTACGGCAAGTCACTTGGATAAGTCACCGTGTCGCTCAAACCTACCAAGGAAGAAATAATGAAAGAAATATTACGGATGCATTTGATTCAATGAAGTTATCAAAGAATTACGAAAGGAGAAAACGTGTTAGATTGTTAGATAGAAGATACATAAATGTAAGAGAGAGTGAGAGAAGTATTAGATTAGTGCAAAAGGCTTGTATATCTGGTAAGTAAAATAAAAATCGCAATTTCAGTAAAACGAGAAACAAGTTACGGACTTTAGTATATATATTTTTTCATCTAGGGAGATACCTTCAAAGGACTCCAGTTCTCTAATTTTATTTAATACAGAACTTGAGACAAAGCGACAAATCTTTTGCATCAATCAAATATATTTATAAGCAGTGTGCACAGCAGAGATGCAATTTCCTAAGACAATCAGTAAAAAAAAATTATGTAAATATAAAAGAATGACATATATTTATATCTAAAGATCGATAAGAGATATGAAAAATGTAAATGATGCAATTTGTATTTTCCGACAAATTACTTCATTCATTATACAATTCGAATCGTTATCGATAGCATCTAAAAAGATAAGTTACAAGTCATTTTATTATCATAAAAATGCAGTTTTGTAAAAAAAAAGAAAGAATATTGTTAACGTAGAACCAATTAACAAGTATTGAGATATAAAACTAGTCGTATTATCCTCCTACATGACCTACATTCATTCTACAAAAAAAAAATCTTGCAAATTGGTTCCCTCTTGAATCATGCTGCTGAACAGAGTTGCGGAAAACGTGAACAAGCGAAATGCGGCAGAAGTGTGTAAAACGTACCGAACGGCTGAGTTTGTGAATTCTGATTGTAGGGAACTAACTGCGTGTCTGGCGCGAAATCTGTAAGATAACATCGCTTTCTCTAGACATTCATGGCCGACGGAGATGAAGGTGCCTGTGGTGAATTTACTGCGGAGTAATATAACTCGGAGGAACATCGCTTGCTCGGATTTGAAACACCCATTCGCGTGAAACATGCAAACGTGATATTGCGCTGATCAGAGAAGACTTTTAAACTGAGACTTTTAACCCCCGGCGTTGCGGTTTTAACGAACGAATTTGCGATTTGCAATGTGCGATTACAACGGCCATATTCCTTGCTTGAATCATAATGCGTTAGAAATTTTTAGAAAGAGAGAGAGAGAGAAAGAGAGAGAGAGAGTCGCTCGTCGGAGGGATGACAATGAGAGCCACGAATTTTCCACGCTCGAAATACCGGGGGTTAATTATTAAACAGTACGTAAAAAAAAGTGCTTAAGAGCTTGCGTCAAACAAGTGATATAATGAGCCTCAATAAAGTACAAAAAAGTACACATCTATCCGTGTGTGTGGCAACACTTGAGTGCGTCCAAACCTTTGGGGCGCGTCGATACTGCTGGTGGTACAGCATACGTTTCTCTTTGCCGAAGGGCGTTTCAGCTCCGGATGACGTTCCGACGACGTCATTCGTTCTACCGTTAGCGTTGTCTTTAAAGTACACGAGATGCCGACGGGACGGCGGGGAGGAGGATCACTACCTTGTTTCGGCGCGTTCTCGTTGCCGGGATAGAGTACATTTTCCGCCGCGTATCTGTATCCCGTATCTCCATCCGTGTCCACCGTATAATCCAGCGGCTCGTGCTTGGCCGACAACTGCGGCTGACTCACGTCGGACGTGCAGTCCAACGGCTGTTCCTCCACGTCGCACGGCACCTCCGTGCTTCTGCTTCTCTCGCTGAACGCCGTCCGCGCGTCCGGTGCACTGTAGTCGGCCTCCGTGCAACTTTGCCACTGGCAAGGCTCGGTGACGGTTGACGTTTGCTCGGTGAACGACTCTTCTCTCATCGAGACGTCCTCCGTCGAGGTGCCTTGCCTCGTCGTCGACTGCTCCTTCACGATGTGCGTCAGCCTGCCGAACGTCGAGACGCTTTCGTCCGTAGCGCCAGGCTCGCATCTGTCCCTCTCCACTTCATAGAAACCACGATCCTCGAAGTCCTCGTCATTTTTCCCAAAAGTTTCTTTGAATTTCTGCAACAGGGAAGTCAGTTCTGTGAGGGCACTGCAGATTTTCAATATATTTTTATATATTTACAGAGACTGCATTTTCCTGAGGCACTCGGTATTCTTACAAAGATACTTCTGACCGTGCAACAAACCTCTTCTGATTCTGTGGTCAGTCCTTTTATTTGTAGAGCCTCTGCAACTTTCAGAAAACTGGCAATATCCTCCTGCTTGATATTGACCTCTCCTTGATACATGAAATGCAGCATAGCCGACAAATCTCGATAATTGACATCTTTCAGTATGACAATGGGATGCTTGCACGAGTTTCCCTGTGTATACAACAAACCACCAGATTAATACGGCGTCTGCAATGAGACTTAAGACTTAAAACTTAAGAAAATTGACTAATCATAGTCGATTATTCATCTCTTAGTCAAAAGAAAAATCGATTATGGATTGGTCATTTTTCTTAAATCTCAAGTCTCATTGTAGACGACGCTTAATGGGGCTTTGACAGTTACAGTCCCTTCGCTCAAAATAATATACCTTAAAGAGCTCTCGGAAGTACGTGCTGCAGACTGACAGTATCAGCTTGTGGGCTCGCAGGATTTGACCTTCGGCGGCCAGCGTGACGTCCACGAGATGCTCGTCTGTCAGCAGGGTGTACAAGCCCGAGGACAGGTTCCTTGGGAAGCTGTTCCACACCAAGGAGAATTGTTCGTCAGACATTGTGCCTACGTGAAAGACATCCCGTATACTCGGTAGAAAAACAAAGAGGACGTTCAGCTAGTGCTCAGACGATTCGCAGATGCTGCATCAGGACATTTCTACAGCTACAATGGCACTGTCATTACGATTGCTAGTAAACGAACTGTGTGTGCACGCCACACTTGTATCGTTTAAAAGTAAACGTAGTATTTACAGTCCAGTGTCTCGGTATCGCCGGATTTCCTTGCGTCAAGCGCGTTTCTTTACCTTCGACAATTCCGTGTTTACAAGCGAGGGGGGAGGGGGAGAGGCGAGTTAACCTGTAACGAGAACCTCCCCGACGAAGACGAGGCTGATAAGATTTTCGACGCCGCTCTCAGCAACACCTCGTCTCGGGCCGTTTATTATATCGCAAGGAAAACACGAGTTAAACTTCAACTTCGAAGCTCCTAGATCCGACCGATTGTCCGAGCACTGGGCACTCGCTCTTCCCCGAGGTCTCGTAATAGCTGCGAAATGCGAATGCAAAAATACAATCGAGACGGCAGTGTCGCGCGCGGGAGGCTTGAGTCACTTCGATATGCGTAAGTAAATTACAAAAGCGGTGCGCCATAAATCATGCGATCTCCGTTGCGCTTCGAGATGGCGACGCGTGCAATCTCGCGCAATGGCGCCGCAATCAACAACAATGCGGTGGAGATATATGTATATGTATATATGCTACCTATACATGTATGTATTTATATTACATTTTATGTATATATTTTGTATATTTGTTATATGAGTAATAATACACTATATATATATATATAATATATATAT